GTTATAAAACGACCGTGGTCCGTCGAGGTTTATTCCGAGGCATTACAAAGACCGAAAAGGGCTACTTACAGCGCGAGTACAAAGTACAATGTCCATTGCCATATAAAAAAGTCTGTGTTTCTCTTACCAGCGGACGCTTCAAGAGTGAGTTAGCACAGTTCTGAAAGATGGCGGCCCATCAAACATACACTGCGACCCTGCATCACATGGTTTCAGAGTCATAAACAGGTCAAAAAGCACAAAAGCGCTACAATTCTTTCTTAAAAAAAGAAAAAAAAAGCAAAATCCTTAAAAAAAAAGAAAAGGTCTCACAGCGGTTTGCGTCCCGGAGGACATAAAGGGGTGATAAATGAGAGTGTTTCCTCCGTGTTTCGCCTCCTGAATTTGTGTGGGGCGGTGGCCAAGTGGTGCTTCTGGCTCTGGGTGCTCCTGGCCGTGTGCGTGTCGCCTCTGAGAGTGGAAATGTGCCCCGGCTACGGCCTCCTAGGGCCCTGTGTGCCCTTGGCGTGGTGTTGGGGGTTTGCTCTGCTGCTCTAGGTTTGTTTGGTCCTCCGCTCGGCGCCGGTAAGTGGTGGCGGTTGAGGAGTGCAGGAGGAGAGAGCATAAAGCCAAGGGGCCTCCCAAAGCCAAGGCGCTGAGAGAGCGTCCTAGGGCCTCCCAGCTACTCCGGTCTCCGATAAGAGCGCCGCTCGTGTCGAGGACCCTCGCGGCTGTGTTTTCTAGGTCTGTGTACCTTCTTGGGGTCGCTTTGTGGTAAAGGAAATGTCATGTCTGCTGTGGCCTCTGCGCCTCTTTCTCTGTCTCTCTGTCTCTCTGTGCTGCAGATAAGGTCCTTGGCCCGCGGGGTTGTGTTCTCGAGGTACTGAGCTCAAGCGGCCGCTCGGGTTCGGGCTGCTGCGTGTTTTCTCCGGGCGGAACTACAAGGACGCTACCGTGTGTGGTGTGCGGAATGTGCGGAGGCAGGAGCCGGGGCCCGCGCCTCGGCACATCTTCTAGGGACGCGCCTTGGAAGCGGCGCTTGGCATTTGCGGGAAGGTTTTTTGGCTCGGGTCATGTAACGCCACTGCTCGCTTCGGCGCCGGCACGGCTCGTCCGGCTTTTAGAAGCGTCCACCGGCGGCACCGGAGCGGGCGCATCCCGCGCCGGGCGCCCCGCCGGCTCCGTCCCCCCCCGGCCGCTTCCCGCCGCCCCCCCCCGTCTCCAGAGGGCCCCAATTCGGGGCGCCGGAGCCGCTGCTCCGGGCCGGAGCGAGGCGAGCGCGTCCGCGGAGCCCACGGGGCGCCTCGCTCCCGCTGGGAAAGGGCAACGTCCGAGCGGCAGAGCAAGGGCTGGGGGCAACGCTTTTGCCCCCCRCTTTCTGAAGCGCAGGGAATCGCTGCTTCTCTCGAGGCTTCGCCCACGTGTCCTGGACCCCCCCGGCCCCCCGCGGGGCGCCCCGGCTCCGGACACCGAGGGGTCCCCCCGCGGCGAGCGCCCCAAAAGAGGGAAACGGCAGCGCGAGGGCCGAGCTGCCCCGTCCCGGCGCGAGGAGGCGGCGCGGGCGCGAGGGAAGCGCCTCGCCGCCGGCCCCCGTGGCACGATCCAACGCGCGGCACCGCGCCGCAGCGGCCCCACGGCTCGCGGGGCGGGTAGCGAGGACGCGCGGCGGCGGCGCCCGTTACCTTGGCCGCTGAGGTTGGGGTTGGTGTAATCCCACGTGTCCTGGTCGTTCTTGAAGACGTTGAGGCGCGTGGGCTGCAAGGGAGACGCGCGGCTGAGCGGGGCGGCCGCCGCCCTCGGGAGCCGCCGGGATTCCCGGCGGGAAGCGGCGGCCGGAGCGGCGCCAAGCGGCCCCCTGCCCAGCAGGGCCGCGCACAGAGGGAACAGGGATAAAACCAGGCAGAAAACGGGATTTCCGTCAACCCCTCAAGTCCCTCAGCCGCCAGCGACCCCCTCATTGCACCCGAACACCCCCGATAACGAAGGTCCCGTCCCGCTCCAGGCTGCTGTGGACGGCGGAAGGAATCTCCGTTTTGTCCCTTTTTGCCCCGAAACCAGCTCCCCGCTCACCTTGGCGTACTCGATCTTGAGCGTGCAGCACCCGGAGTAGATGTCGGCGCCGTTGAGCGAGGCCTTGGCGCGCTGCGCGCTCTGCACCGAGTCGAACGTGCGCCGCGCTAAGGAACGGTGCCGGGACGAGGCCTTTCCCCGCGGCTTCTCCCGCCCCGCGGCCCGCGCGGACAACGTTCCCCAAAAAAAAGGATATTCCACCATGGCCTGCACGCCGTTCTTGCGGAAGATGACGATGCGCTGCACGGGGCCGCAGGGGTTGCAGATGGTGTAGAGCACGTCCTGCGGCGCCAGGGCAGCCCARCGTGAGCAACCGGGSCGCAAACGGCCCCAAAACGGCCCCAAACCGGCCCCGAACCCCCATCGCCACCCACCGTCGTGATGGAGTAGATGGGGTTGAGGATGGTGAAGAGCAGCACGTTGTTGACGCCCCTGGAGTCGTCGCTGTCGCCGGGCCGCGAGATCTTCTGGCTCGTGGAGTAGTTGACGAAGGCGGGCTGCCCGGCGATGTAGATCTGGTTGTCGGCCGCGTAGTTGACGGCGTTGCAGGCGCCCAGGATGTCCTCGAACTCCACCAGCGCCTGCCGCTTCTTGGGCATCACCACCACGTAGCTGCGCGGCGGGCACGCGGTGAGCGCCG